TTATGTTATTTCCACTACCAGCCAAGCATGGTTAAATTAGAAATAAACTCAAATTTAAGCATTTGCTGTAGAAGTGAGGAATAGCGTAGGTTAAGAATTGTTTCTGAGGATGTTTTAGTATGGTATATAATACATTTTAGTGTAAATGGATTTTGTGCAGTCATATATTTTAGAAAATCATTTATGAAAACACCTTTCTCTGACTGTATCGGGAATCATTTGCAGTCTCTAAGCTGATGGGCACATACAGGAGCATGAAGAGATGGCTGTTGAGGGAATGAACTGACTAGCAGTGGTGAAATATAGATGTCAAGACCCATTTTTTATGCAAGGAAAGTAATGCTTGGAAGGGTGCTAATGTTAGCCTGTCTTGCTATCACTACACCCACCATAACTCCACCACACGGAGTGATTCTAACCAGCCAGATTTGAAAAAATCACTAAAACAGTCTATTAGTCTGGAAAGGAGCTAGTAGAATCCAATATCAAAGGTAGGATAAACACAAACAGCAGAAATTCAATTCAATTATATACTGACACATGTAATATATTATTTAAATGCTTGTTATTCATCATCATATATGAACTGAAAGTCTAAATCTTTGTTTGCTTTGCTTTAGAAATACCTATTTCTGATTATATAGGAGTCGGTGTGTGGAGATCTTTTAAAGAGGAGGAGACGCCCCTTAACACTTGTCTTGTCTCAAAAGTGGGGTAAGCCATCTTGTATGGTTTGGCTTGTTGGAGCAGTAGCTAAGGTCAGCTAAGGACTCAGTGCAGCATATAACCCAGTGCAGGTGGTAGACTGCATCCCATGTAAGTAGCACCAACAGCAATTCTTCCTGCTGAAGAAGGGACGGCCTTCTAGCCTGATAAACCAGTCTAAATGTGAGATCAAATGTGTAATTTAGTCTGCCGCAGATGAATGAGACATCGGAAGATTGTTGATGAGAACAACCCCTTGTTTTTCAAATCATGTCAGTGCCCAATGGCCAATGCCCTGACCAATGAGTGTAACTGACTGTGACGTAGTAAGTGCAACAGAAATCTGGTGATGGTGGTGGGAGGGGTGTAAAGAAAGGCCATGGCCGTTTCTCAATTCACTCATTTTTGCCTACGAGTTTGTTCTAGCCTGGATCAATGCCCCAGGCCCTAGAACTAGCGGGAAATATATGCACAGCTCTAGAGCACGTTTGCACGGTATGACTGCTAGTTACAGCTGGGTACAGAATGCATGGGCTGGGGTTCTTTTTCTTTCACCTTTTCTCACTCATTGCACTCTCTTAATTTTCTGTCTTCCTTTTCCTTATTCGTCTGCTTCTTCCCTGTGGTCCACACAATCACAAGCACACGGTTTGATGCTACCTGGGTCTAGGTATAACTATTTATTTAGAGGCATGTACTTTTCATCTTCTCACTCACACCTATGGTGAATGTAAGGTTTGTGACATGGAATGTGCATGGGGCTGGCACCAGAGAGAAACAGCTTAAGATTTTTAACCAGCTTAAAAGATTAAATGCAGATGTTGTCTTATTGCAAGAAACCCATAAATCAGCGGCATCTATAAGTGATCTTAACTCCCCTGAGTTCCCTGATGTGTTTGCAGCCTGCTATAACTCGAGACAGAGAGGGGTAGCTATTTTAATCCACAAAAACCTCAGTTTTACTTTATTAGACAAAATTATAGATCCTGAAGGCAGATTCATCATAATTAAAATATCTATTTATAACCAAAAGTTGTGTATTGTCAGCATATATGGTCCAAATGTTGACGACCCCTCATTCTTCCACAAAGTTTTTCATTCACTTTCAAAGCACGGGGATTGTTCTCTAATTATTGGGGGTGACCTCAACTTTGGTCTAAATGGAGAAATGGACAGGTTGAGTACAACAGGGACCCAGCGCAGTTGGCAATCATTAAATGTAGTCAAACAATACATGAGTGATTTTGGTCTTTGCGATGCATGGCGATCTCTTCATCCTAACAGTAAGGAATACACTTTCTTTTCCAATGTCCATCATTCCTACTCTCGTCTGGACTATTTCCTAATCAGCAGCTCACTGCTGTCTGATGTCTCAGATGCTGTAATCCATCCTATTGCTGTCAGTGATCATGCTCCTGTTACTTTAACCCTAATAAATAAAAAAATAGCCCCACAAAACAAGAGCTGGAGATTAAATACATCACTGCTTAAAGATGAAGAGTTTCTCAAATTTTTCAAGGAAGAGTGGGCATCATACTTGGTGTGCAATGATTTACCAGGAACATCAGCATCTATACTATGGGAGGCAGGGAAAGCAGTGATGAGAGGTAAAATTATTTCATTTTCATCTCATAAAAAAAAGTTAGAACAAAAAAAGATCCAGGAATTAGAGGGGAAAATAAAGTTACTAGAAAGCTCGCTAGATGAGGAAAAGTTAGGGGAAATCCGTAAAATAAAACTAGAACTAAACGAATTTATTTAAAAACAAAATAAATTTTTAATTCAAAGACTTCGAATTGACAACTTTGAACATAGCAATAAGTCAGGAAGCTTCTTAGCTAACCAGCTAAAAATAAACAAAGAAAAAACGACTATATTTGCAGTTACAGATTCAATTGGTAATACATTACAGGATCCGGAGGATATTAACAATGCCTTCCAAGATTTCTATAAATCTTTATACACATCACAGTTAAATCCATCAGATAATGATATCAAGCGATTTCTGGATAAAATAACTCTTCCTAAATTATCAGAGAGTCAAAGAGCGACCCTGGACTCACCGCTGTCTACAGCTGAAGTTCAGGAAGCATTAAAAAACATGCCAAATAATAAAGCTCCAGGTCCAGACGGGTTCCCTACTGAGTTCTATAAAGAGTTCTGGGACATTCTGGCCCCAACGTTCCATAGAATGCTGCAGGAAACTCTAGATAATGGCAAATTTCCAGTTAATATGAATTCTGCCACCATTAGTCTCCTGCTTAAGCCAGGCAAAGATCCTATGTTTCCGACCAGCTATCGTCCCATATCCTTAATTAATGTGGATATTAAAATAGTCTGTAAAGCTTTAGCAAAACGGTTAGATAAAGTCACTCCTCTCATAATCCACCCAGATCAAACTGGTTTCATTAAAGGGAGGCAGTCAGCTGCTAACACACTGCTGAATTTAATAGATTATTCCTACAGCAAAAATCTTAAATCCTATATATTGTCCTTAGATGCAGAAAAAGCATTCGATAGAGTAAACTGGAAATTTTTATTTGCTACTCTACATAAATTTGGCTTTGGCAATTCCTTTATAAATTGGTTAAAAATATTATACAGCTTCCCAACAGCCTGTGTCAGGACAAACAATCAAACATCTTCCAGTTTTTGTCTCCAGAGGGGCACCAGACAGGGATGCCCACTCTCCCCCTCACTTTTTGCTATTTTTATTGAGCCTCTGGCTGCTACAATCAGACAAACAAATATGATTAAAGGTATAAAAGGCATGAAAATGGAGCATAAAATTAGTCTTTACGCAGATGATGTATTACTTTATCTCCAGCACTCAAACACTTGCCTCTCTCAAGTGATTAGTTTACTAGAATCTTTCTCAAAAGTCTCAGAATACTCTATAAATTGGTCTAAATCTGTAATACTACCAATTAATTGCTCTCTACAGAATCCCTCAGGTCTACAATTGCAATCAGGAAATATCAAATATTTGGGAATTACTGTGTCATCTAAACTAGCTGAGTTACCAAAACTCAACCACACCCCTCTTTTAATGAAAATAGAAGAGGACCTAGAAAGATGGAAATCGCTTCCGATCTCCCTTTTGGGTCGGGTAGCCTCAATTAAAATGATGGTCTTACCCAGAATTAACTACCTATTTTCAATGATCCCAAATAAACCATCAACCGAATGGTTTAAATCTCTAGATTCTTCCATCTCTAAATTTCTTTGGAAGGACAAACCCCCTTGTATCAGCTTAAAAACACTACAGAAAACTAAAGACAGAGGGGGACTAGATTTACCTAACTTCCAATACTACTATTTAGCAAATAGATTACAATACATCTCTAAATGGATAAAACATAATCCCTTAGATGAGCCCTGGATAGACACAGAACAGGATATATGCAGTAATATAATAATCTCAGATTTGCAGTTTATTAGCTCTAAGATCAAACGGCACCCATGTTTCAAAAATATTAACATCAGCTCTTCCCTGACAGCATGCGTGGGAATTTCTAAAAATAACGAACTCATCACTTATCCCGTGCAGTCGTACACCCATCTGGAATAACCCTGACATTCTACAAAACAATAATGTGATAAACTTTCCGTACTGGAAGAATAAAGGTATTACATATCTGGATCATTTGTTTGAGGGTACGGAGTTTATCACATTCGCTAGATTAAACTTGCAATATGGCATTAACAAAAATAAATTCTTAGAATATGAGCAAATCAAAGCTATAATTAGAAATAAATTTAAGCATATTGATGGAGGTTTAATAATTCCAACTAAAATATCAGAGTTTCTAGAGTTAACCCCCCCCAAACTACTGTCTAAGTTATACAGGACACTGACTAAACTGGATGATACAATATCTCTTCCTATTACTAAATGGGAGGAGGATTTATCAGTCAGCTTTGAACAAAACATCTGGGCTCAGTTATGTCTAAGAACTTTTAACATGACCAGAAACCCCAATTTACAATTAATACAATACAAAATCCTCCACAGAGTGCACTATACAGGTCAAAGATTATTCAAGATGGGTTTTGCGCAATCTAACATCTGTCCACAGTGCACAGGCAATCGACTTGATAATTATTTTCACGCGTTATGGTTATGCACGCCGGTTCAGAGATTCTGGGTACAGGTATGTAAGGATCTATCACTGTGCCTGGGTTGTAAAATCCCAATTTCCCCTTCAGTTTGCTTGCTGGGTAACTTTGAGGGAAGCTCTATGGGAAAAAAATCGGTTTGCTTGGCATTCACTGCATTATGTATCGCAAAGAAAACTATCCTCATGAATTGGAAGAGTAAGGATAAACTCAACATCAATCAGTACAGAGATCTGTTGTTGGATCATATTAATCTTGAGACAGCATCTGCATCCCCATCAGACCGATCTCTCTGGGCTCCCTTGATCGGCTCCATCACTTAGTGTAGTGGGGGGCTATGGGGTGCGTCTTGTGGGGCGCGGGGGCTAGTTCGGGGGTCCTTGGGTCCTGGGGGCTCGGGGGGGTGCTCGGAGCGGGGTGCCTGGCGGGTCTGGCCCGGGGGACTGTTGCCCCCGTCGGGGCGGGGTCTGGGGCGCCGCGGGGGGGTCCTGCGGCGGCCGCGTGCGGTGCTCTTGGGGGGTTCCGTGGTGGCGGACGTGGGCTACTGGCCTGGTGGCTGTGCTGCTGCTGGGTGGGGCTGGGCGCCGGGCATCGGTTCTTTTGTGGTGCTGGCCGGGGTGCTTCTGCTCTGCGGGGCGTCGGGGCGTGCCTCGTCTTCCGGTGCCGGGTTTCGGTGGTTGGCCGTGGCGCTTGCCGTGGTTGCGTCGTCCGGGGGGGGCGTGGGTGGTCGCGCCTGTGGCCGGGGTTCGTGTGTGTCTGTTGTGGGCTGGTTGCGGGCGTCGGGGGTCCCTTTGGAGTGCCCCCGGGTCGGGGTGTGGCTTCGCTCTGTTGGGGCGGGTGCCGGTGGCGCGTGGTGCGGTGCATCGTGCGCGGTTTGGGAGTGGAGGGTTGCTCGGTGTTTGGCGGCGGGGGGGGGACGGGCCGTGGCCGGCGTGGCCGTCCTCCTCTCGGCGGCCTGTGGGCGGTGCGGGGCCGGAGCGGGGTGGGTCGTGCTGCTTTCGCGCCGGGCGCGGCGGGGGTGGTGGGGTCGCGTCTGCTGCTTTCTTTTTGCTGCTTGTGCCGGCTTCTGGCGGCTGGGGCGGCCTTGCTGCTCTGGCTCTCTGGCGTGCGCCGGGTGGGGCTGCTCTGTCCTTTGCTTTGCCTTGCGGCTGTGTTTGCTGTGGTCGGTGGGGGCGGGGTGGTTTCGTTGTGTTTTTGGGTGGGGGAGTCCGCCTGGGGGCTTGGTTGGTGCCGTCGGTTCGTCCGTGTCGGCCTTCCGGTGTTTTTTCTGTTGGGGCTGCTCGGGCCCCCGCATGCCGGCGGTGCGCTGCCGGGGGGATTCCTGTTCGGCGGGCTTGCCTGTCTCCTGGGAGGGCAGGCATGTTGACTTTTCTGGGGAGGAGCATCTGGGTGGAGGGGTCCTCGTGGTGTGGCGGTGGGTGTTGGGCACTGGCTTGTTTGCGACCGTTCTTCTCCGGTGAGGGGGAGAATATTATAATTTTTTTGTTTTTGTTTTTGTTTTTTTTTTTTTTTTGTGTGGGAGGGGGTGTGTGGGGGGGGGGATCGGGGCTTGGAGTGGGGCTCGGGATTTGCGCTTAGCTGTGTTGTGTGGCTTTCTTCTTCTTCGGATTGGTGCTGTGGGACCGGTGTCGGGGGGGAGTCGTTCGGGGGCCGGGGTCGGGGTGGGGAGTGCTGGCGCCGGTGCCGGGGGTTTTTGGGCATTGCCCGGCCCACTGCGGGGTGGGTCTGGGGTGGCTCCTTGGGTCTGGGATCCCTGGGGCGCATTGCCCTTGGGCGGGGTCCCCGGTGGGGGTTCGGGTTCTGTGGGGAGTGCTGCTTGGGTTCTGGGCCGGTGTCCGCCCGGCTGTCTGTCCCTGCTGCCACGGCCTCTGGTGGGCCGGGGTGCCTCGGGGCCTGCGGGGCTGGGGGGGGGGCATGGACATTAACACCTATGGCAAGTGCTTACCCCCTCACGGGTTTGCACTCTGTAAGTGGGGGAAGGGGAGGGAGGGGGAGTAGGTATGATCTCGGCCTGGATGTCTTCTGTCGCTTGTGTGGTGAGTAGCTTGATTGTTATTGTAGGGGAGGGATTACATCTCCGGAGGGGGGGTGGGGGGTGGTGATAGAGGGAAGAAGATCTTTGAAGGGCTTTGGGTCTGGCTCCCTGTCTTGGTCCTGGTCCGTGCTGCCCCCTGGTGGGGCTTCGTCCGGGGTGGGGGCTCTGCGTGTTGCGCGTTGGCTGGCCGGCTGGGGTTGTCCCTCCCCTTATTCATTTATTTATTTATTATTATTATTTTTTTTTCTTATCTTCCTTTTATATTTTTTTATTTTTTTTATTTTATTTTTTTTTATTATTATTATTTTTAATTTAATTAATTAATTTATTTATTTTTTTTATTTTATTTATTTATCTACTTATTTTTTTTTTTTATTATTATTTTTCTGGATGGACAGGACGGGGGGAGGGTGGTGGTGTCGGCTCCGTGCCCGGCTGGCTGGTGGGTCCTGCTGCCGGTCCCGTGCCCCCGGGCTATGGTGGTGAAACTGGTGGGGCCCCCTTCTCTGGGGGGGCTCTCGGGGAACAGGGGTGCCTATTGGAGTCAGCGGGGGAGCTGGCTCCCTGGGAGTGCAGCAAGCACCCCAGTCCTTTGCTCCCCATCCCCGAAATCCTCCCTCTGCCTGCTCCATCACTCGACCACACATGTAGGTTTTTGGGGAGGGGGTCGTTACTGGAGGGCCACACCTTCTGATGACGTCCCCCACCCCAATTTTATTTTGCATTTTAGACACTTCCATCTACATCATTTTCACAACACACATCTATGTAGGGCATTTTCGGGGGGTGGGGGTCAGGGCCACCGGGGGGGGGGCTTATTTTATGGGCCTCACCACGGTCGGCCTCCTCCATCCCCTCTCGCATCTAGACATTGAGGGTTGAGGGTTGTCGAAGGGGGGGGGTGTGCTGGCACCGTCTATCTCCTGGAGGGGGGGTGGAGTGTGCCGGACACCCCCTCTTGGTACTCCCAGTTTTAATTGCATCTGAGAGCAACACGCAACAACACCACATTCGAGCGGGCGCAGTGAGGATCGGGGTCTTCTCACACCCCTGTTCTGGGGTGCGGGTCTTGGGTCCTGTTTTGGGCTCCGGTTTTTCCGCTCGCACTTCTCCTCTTGCCTATTTATTTTAATTGTAATTATTAATTAATTTATTTATTTACCTATTTATTTATGTTTTTTTTTTTTTTTTTTTTCTCTTCCTCGGTGGGGGGGAGCGGTTGCGGGCGGGTCGGTGTCTGGTGTCCGCTGTCGCATTATCGGGGGCTCTTTTTTTTTTTTTTTTTTTTTTTTTCTTTGGGGGGTTTGGCATGTCTGTTTTCTCGGGGGGCGGGCGGGCCTGCTGGGTGGGGGTCCTGCTGGCGGCGCGCCGCTGGTGTGTGGGGGTCCGGGCGGCTCCGGCGGGGGTAGTGTTGGGGGGCCGGTCTGGGCGGGCTGGCTGCGCTGGCTAGGTATTCGGGTGGGTTTTCCCTCCTGGAGGCATGGCGGGGCTCTGTTCCCGCTGATCGCGGTGGGTGGGGCTGCGGGGCGGGTGGGGGCCTGGAGTGGCTATGGCCGGCGCGTGGTGGGGGGCCGGGGCGGCGGAGCTGCTCTGGCCGCGTGTCAGGGCCTGGTGCGGGCTGCGGGGGGGGCGGCGGACGTGGCTGGGCTGCTTTAGCTTCGTCCGGTGGGGGGGCGGCGCGGTTCGCTCCGCTCTGGCTTTGTGCTGCCCCTCGGGCTGCTGGGGGGGGTGGTTGCGCCGGCTGCGGTCTGCTCTTCTTGCGGTTTTGCGCCGGGCGGCTTTTCTGCTCTCGGGCTGATTCTGTGCGCGGTGTGTTTCGTTGCGCGCTGTTGGCATCGGTCTTGGTGGGGTGGGGCTGCGCTTTTGGCCGGGTGGGCGTTTTGGGGGGGGTCCCGCGGCGCTCGTGGCCGGTTCGCGGCGGATGCGCATGGGCCCCGGCCGGGGACGGGGCCGCCTGAGTGTTTTCCTGGGTGGTGCGGTCGCGGTGGGTGTTGCGGCCGGTCGCCGGGGCTTGGTGCGGGGGGGCGGGGCGTGTTTCGGTGCTCTGTGGGGCTGGGGCGTTTCGGTCGGCGCCGTGGGGGGGCTTGTGTTCGGTGCCCGGCCCTACTTCGGGGTGGCCGGCTGCCGGCGGGGCCCGCGGACTCGTCCCCGCAGCTCCCCGGGGCGCCGGCATGGCGGTGGCTGGGGGGCTTCTTCGTGGCTGTCTCTCCTCCTGCCTTGGTGGGGTCTGGTTTCCGGGGCTGGCCCCGCCTTGGTGCCTTCGCTTCTGGGGTCCCCTTGGGCGCCTGGGGCTTTGGGTCTCCCGGCGCTGGACTCAGTGCTCTGGGGGGTGCGCCTCTCCGGCTCTCCACAACGACTATTGAGCATTTTTTTCTATGGTTAAAACTTTACATGCACAAGTTCACCCTCACAAACAACTACAGGTGCTAGGCTTCAGGTACTTAGAGATTCACTTCCAAACAGAAACCCCACATTCATATCTTCAGGTAACACAGAGTACATGTCAGACTTAATAATATTACTTTAGCGATAGTTTCAAGGTGTTGCTTTATTGTATATCTCGTACCATGTTTTTTGGTTGTGCTGTTCTTTTTTCTTTTTTTTTTTTTTTTTTTCTCCATCTCATTACAGGTGTTGAAGCAGACTGAAAATGTTTTGTCATTGTCTCCTTCCTATCTCCTCTTTCTTTCATCTTTTGTCCTGTTTTTTTTCTTTTTCTTTTTCCTTCTTCTTCTTCTGTTTTTCTGCTCTACTTACATTGCAGTGTCCATATGAACTGTAAAACTCCCTGCATAATTATAATAAAGCAATTTATATACATGAAACAAGTGGAGCGGTATGGCAATTGCGATACCGCTACACTTGTGAAAGTAAAATCTGTTGGGCTCCTTTTGGCATCAAGACAATTATTCTTACTGCCACCTTGCCAGACAGGACACTGTAAAAAAAAAAAAAAAGAACTAGCGGGCCAATCACAACACGGAGGGATGTTTTGATTTTCTGGAAACAAAGTGGGTGGGGTTTTGAGGGCAGGGCAACAAAGCTGCATGACACTGGAGAAAGCACAACAAGGAAGATGGCAACAACTATTGAACAGTTCTCATTTGACTCAGTTTTTGAATCAGTTTTGGAAGGATTAGACTTGGGGTTTTCGTTGAAACGTGAGCAGGAAGAGGCTCTACACACATTCAGTTTTAAAAAGGAGGTATTCGCTGCTTTACCGACATGTTTTTCGCAATATTGATTGACAGCTGTCACACTATGCTTGTAGCGACAGTGGAAAGGAAAAACTCATTTTTAACAGGAAGAAACGTCCAGCAGAACCAGGCTCAGTGTGAGCGGCCATCTGTTGAGGCCGACTGGGGTTCAAGGAGACAGAAGCAGAGAAACAAAAAGCAGCTGTAAAAGGCGTCCCTGTCCAGGAAACACACAGCCAGGCAGACGAGCACCGAGCTAGCTCCCATGTCAGAGGATGAAGAGAGCACATCCAGCCAGTCACATTCAGAGAAACAGGACTACACTGGAAAACAGGCTGATCTCTAATATCTATGAACAAAGGTGTTGATCGGAGCAGCACAGCTGATATTTCTTTCCAGGATGGAGTCACAGCCAAATAGGAACAGACTAGGCGAAGCTACTATGAGAAAAAGCAGAGAGGGCATACTGTTAGAGATTGAAATTATTATGATCCTTTTGATTTTTGGTCAGAGGTTAGTAAATAAAATACATAAAGTCTCTGCATTTGTTAGCTCAATCTGGGGAGATACTGTACAGGCTCTACTTTATTTGTTGGACTCCTTGCTGCAAGTACAAAGAATGATGATCTCAACAAGGCAGGTAACTGTGGTTTTTCTTTTAGTAAGGTGATTATTGGAGTTTCTCCTAACCCTAACCACCTACTGACCACAGGAGAAAGGGACCAGGCTCCTGCTACCCTTCACAGATTGATCGATGAATGGTTTAATGTAATCTGCTTTGCATTGTTTGGGATGTTAATTGT